TCAACTCTGTGTGGTTTGAAAGCCTCTTTTAGGGCAGGAATTGCCAAACTGGAGAGAAGCGCTTGGTTTTCCCGTTGTTGTGCTTGCACTTAGTGCCTGCACGTCGCTTCCCCATCTTCAGCGTGCCAGAAGCCGTATCGAGTTCTGACATCCCGTCTGCGGAGCTGGGAAAAAATAGGGCTTTATTGTGTAGGATAGGGACAACTCTGTGTGGTTTGAAAGCCTCTTTTAGGGCAGGAATTGCCAAACTGGAGAGAAGCGCTTGGTTTTCCCGTTGTTGTGCTTGCACTTAGTGCCTGCACGTCGCTTCCCCATCTTCAGCGTGCCAGAAGCCGTATCGAGTTCTGACATCCCGTCTGCGGAGCTGGGAAAAAATAGGGCTTTATTGTGTAGGATAGGGAAGTTAAAAAAACGGAGGTGATCATTTGGCAAGTGGGCCGATTGCTTGTTAGCCACAGAATCTGGATCCTCTTTGTTCTTGCACGTGTGTCTCTGGGCACAGTTGCTGTGCAAACACTTGGCTTGATTTTTAAACACTCAGTGGCAGAAATTCATTTTTCCACAAAATCTGTGCTGCTCAGGAGTTGTTGCTGAGGACACACACTGCAGAAATCTGTTTCTGGGGTCTGGTACTTATGATCTGTGCCAGCTGGAAACCTCCTCTGAGCCTAGAACCATGTTGCTGGTTATACTGCCAGCCAGCTGAGGTCATTCCCATGCATACAAAGACGCTGCTGGAAATGCCGTCGACTCGGGAAGATCCTCACCACTTTCATATTTGGGGCATCAGGACTCCATACGTTGTTGGAACGTGTCTTTCCCCAGTGAGGCAGAGCCACGAGGTGCTCAGCAGTGTGTGTGTGCGTGTGTTTTACAGGTGGCTCTGGAAGGCGAGGGGGAAGATTCTCTGCCCAAGGCATGGGGTGAGTGTCACTGGTACAAACCACAGCAAAAATAAAAATCCTTGTGCGTGAATAGTGCTGTTTGCATCAGTCATTTGTGTTCTGATTTTGCTTTTTTGGTTAATAAAGCCAAAACTGCATCATGCTGACTTAAATTCGGGATGGTTAGTGTAGCTGAAGCATCCCTCTGCTCAGAGCACTGTCTTTTGAGACTCTGAGATGTGTTGTGGTCTGAATAAAATCAGTTGCTTCTAAGATGCTTAGGGAGAGGGAGTAAAAGTTTCCATCCTCATGTTTCCTACAGAACTTTCAACCCGGCTGACTACGCGGAGCCGACTGGCACGGACGAGAACTACGGGAATAGCACCAACAACACGTGGAACAACACTGGCAGCTTTGAGCCAGATGATGGCACAAGTAAGTGGTCTTCATGTGCATGTCTGCTGCGTTGTGTTTAGAGGGCAGGTGGGTTTTGTGTCCCTCCAGTCGCACTGGGGAGGTTCTGGGAAGGCCTTTGGCTGAGAGATGGAGGAACGGAGATCGTTGGTTCAGAGATGGATTGCAGTGACCCTGTGTCTTTGCACCTGGAGGTGCCTTTGCATCCGTTAGAGTGAACATGTTGGGAATTGGGAGCTGGATCATCTGATGTGAGCTTGTGCATGCTGCTGCTCAACAGAGGCACGGGAACACTTGCCTCCATTTGTTTTCCAGTCAAAACCATGCCACCCTTTTGGAAAAGTCTTTTTTGATAAACTGAAGCGTGATAAAACACATGCAAGTTCTCCCAATATTCGGTGCATCCTCCAGAGAGTATCAGTTGGAGTTCAGATATCTTGCTCTTGATTTTAGTATGGAGAGCATTCCGTCTTTCCATGGTCATCCTGCTCCAACTGCTGTAGGATGAGACCTTGTTCCAGCAGGCTAGCTGGAAGGAAATCTTCATCACTTCCATGCTTGAAGCAAATGTTTCTTTCCCGGGTGGCTCGTGAATGGCCATCCACCCTCGCACGCTCTCTTGCGTTGGAAAAACGGTACTTTTTGTGTCGAGTGCCATTGTAAGACACCAGTGAACTCAGGTTTTGCAGTGTGGTCACTGGACGGAGCCGCAGGGGACAATCCTGAACCGTAAGTAGTCTGTCTGGGGGGGTTCTGAGTGGTTGGGTGGGTTTTTTTGTGGAGCAGTCTTGTGCCACCATGAAGCCCAACTATTTTCTCAGGATTTTTGAGCATTCAAGTAAATACCACGTCTTGGTTGTAAGAAGCATTCACCACCATGTTCATGCTGCTTTACGCCTCTTCCATGTTCCTTGTATTTGCTGAAAAACAGAGCTTTGGAAAGAGAGAAATAAGAACTAAACCGTGATACTTTTTATTGCACAGCGTTGGCGAAGAGTTTTTTTGGTTGGTTTGTGTTTGGGTGGTTTTTTGGTTGGGTCGTTTTGTGTTGTTTTTTTGTTGTTTTTTTTTTCCAGAAAACTGAGAGCTGCTTTGAAAGGGGGGGGAAAAAATAAGCATGGTTTTGTAAAACACTAGCAGATTGAGTGATCATCATCTTGATGCCTGAGAAATGGAGTTTTAAATGCCGGGGGGAGTAGCGTAGGCATGTGTTAAGGGCAGGCAGCACGCTTGTCTCCGGAGGAAAAAGGGATGGGAGTGGATGAGCTGGAAGTTTAACTGTCTAGTTTGAACAGCCTTCTATGTGGTTTTTTTTTTTTCCTATGTTGGTGTTTTGTGGAATTGTGGAACAAAGTGGGTTAGAGCATGGTTGGGGGGAATTGCAGATTTTTCTGACGGAACAACTCAAATTTCCTCTAGCACTACGATGTCGTGCAGCTGTGCTGTTCACCTGTGTCGTGTGTGGTCGTTTTGTTCCCATTTTAGTAGCCACAGGCATCTCCTTAAAATAACAATATCCACAGGTACAATGTGATTGGTGTAGGTGGTGGCAATGAAACTGGCCTTCGCTTCTTGAAGTCAAAATTTCACTGGTTGTCTGTCTTTTTTTTTTGTTTTTGTTTCAGGACTTGATTTCATTGGGGGTGAGGGGTCAAATTATCCCCGAAAATTTGACACTGCTCCTGGTACGATACATCCAGGTGCACTAACTGCCCCGGATACCTTTACTTTATAGCTTTTTTTTAAAAAAAAAAAACACTGAAATATCTGTGGATATGTCATTCTTCTCTCTCTTAATTTGTTCTTTTTAATGAAAATTCGATGTTTGTTCTGACTGTGCTTTTACTAACGCTAACACCTCGAATGTGAATCGGGAGAGGTTAACACAAATTCTTGTGGATTCTGTAAAATTTAACTTCAGCCACTGCTTCCCTGTACCCAGAGCAGCTCCGTGTCCACAGCACTGACGACAGAGTATCCCACCGAGGGGAGGAAGCGTGGGGCAGCCTGGTTGTGTCCCGCTTGTCCCGCACCCGGAAAGCTGTGACTTGCTGTTGTCCCCGTGCCATCTCCTGGGCATGGCTTTTCGGCTCTGCCACGATCTCCGTGTTTCTGCTCAGGGCCAAACCGCTGCTGCGAGGGGAATTGGCCTGGCTAAACTATCCGAGTGCTTTGCCTCTGCTTACACCTTCCTCCGGGTGCGCGATGCGCTCGGCGGCTGCCTTGGCGTGCTCCTGCTGCCCGCTGTGCCTGCTGGGCACACCTGCCCTGCAGTGGAAGATGATGGTGGATTTTGAGATGGATGCTCCGTGGCAAAGCTGCTCGGCGCCTGGCCGCTTCGTTTCCTGCCCTTACACCTTTATGCCTTGCGAAGCCGAGAGACGCCCGTGAGCTGATCCGGTTTGCTTATTCCTGCCGAATCCCATCGGTGTCCGTAACGAGGCCAAAGTCATGGTTAACTTTTTAGTCTCGTCCATCTAACCTGAGGTCGGGAAGTCGAGGCTAAGGGCCCTTCTGGATAAACTTGCCAGTTTGCTCTTGAAAGTCAGGACAGGAGAGGGAGCGTTGAGGCTGTAGAATCTTTTGCAGGAGACAACCTTGGAGTGCTTCTGTTGCTTTGGAGCATCTCGTTCTCCCTTCTGGGTTAATCTGGAACCCCTGCAGGCAGCCTAAGGCCATCTGCTCCGGTGCTGCCATCCTGGTTTGGCTACACCTTGGCTTTGTTTGGATTTACATTCCTTTGAGGTGCAGAGTGGAGGGGTTTGGGTCTGTCACCCTTCCAGGCTGGGGCATCCAGCATGTGTCCAGTCACTGAGATAGCTGCAGACCGCCTGATGGGCTGCGGGAGGAGCAAGGTGTTGCTCATCTCTGTTTAAAATGAAGAGATAGTGTATTTTTGGGGGAAAAAAGTAATCTTGAAGACACAACGGGATTTTTTTTTTTTCCTCAGCACATTCATGTTTGCAAGTACCTGTTGACTTTTAATGTTATTTTTTCCCCTTTTCCTGGTTTGAGGAGCTTAAAGGCCAGCAGCTCTCTGAAGGGCTTCCTCACAGCAGAGAGGAGGGGGTGCCACTCAGAAGATGACACTTCTGAAACGCTGTTGGAAGTGTCGGGGCGTCCCTTGCCTTGCAGCTCTCCCGTTTGGAAGAGCTCAAAGGGGAGGGATACACTCCATTTCTTTACAAGAACTAAAGGCACCGTGCTGGTTAGGAAGCTTTCTGGAGAATTTCTGGCGAATGCCCAGTCGTACGTCGCAAGTTTTCAGTTTTCCGTCTGTCCCTTCGTGTGCAAGGAGCACAAGCCATGCCGAAGGGGTGTCCAGGACTTGAGAAGTAGACTTGCCAGGAAAGCCCCATCAATGGCTGCTCTTTATCTATAGGATTTCCTTCTGCTTTTCACGCTGCTTTGCTTTTCTTCTCATTTTCCTCAAGTGAGCAAGGCTAAGAGCTCTGTGCCGTGTTCCTACATGCACAGACTCTTCTTGGGGCACCTCTCCTGGCTTCCTGCTCTCCCCTGCCAACTGCAGCTGACCCAGCTACCTCCAGCTCCCACTCCACCTCTTGGGTGAGGGTTGAGCTGGTAGGATCTTTCTGGTCTGTGAGAATTCTGGAAAGGAGCCTTCCTGCTGCTGCTGTGAGGGTACAAAAAAAAAAATCTAAGGAATGATGGAATCTGAGTTTTTGAACCCCAGATGCGTTTTGCATTGAATGTGTTGAACTCCTGAAGCTTCTGGCTGGGGAGGAAGGGGTAGAGTAGTGTGCCTTGAGACTCCTGGCGGCCAGGGAAGTCGTGTGGTATAAATATCTGTATTTCTAACTTGAATATTAGAACAACAACAACAAAAAAATCCAGGAAGGCCTCTTGAATTGGCTCAACTTGTCAGGCAAAAGAGATCACCCAACAAAACAGTGAAGAAAGAATAATTCACTGATTATCGACTGACTTCATCCACTCAATCCTCCACTTCTAGACAAGCAGTTGTTCGGATGTTTTGGCCCCATAATTAAAATGTATATGGGAAGATTGCTGAGTTCTTCCCCCTGGAATCTCAGTGAGCCTGATCGGGTTCTCCAGAAGAATCCACAGTGTTCTTGTTCCCCGCGTGCTCTGGTTTTATGCTGCAAAAGGCTTTCAGCTTAGGAAAGGGCTGATGCCAACTTGTTCCGTCCTTGTAAACGTCTCCAGGATTAACCCTGTTGACTGTGTCAGGTTTTGTTGATCTGGTTTGTGTGGGCTGAAAACAAGCTGTGCGAAACGGGGCTGGTTTTACGCTCTTGAGTTTTTTGGGATATAAAACGCTCCCGCTCTCCTCCCACACCAAATTTCGAGTTCGGAAGTCACCACATAATATTCCGAGTACTGAGGTTAAACCGTGATGGAGTTGAGGGACAGAACAAGTTGAAGATGCTGCCAGGACTCTTCCCCCCCCCCCAGTAAATTTTGCTCTCTTACAAACCGCGCTGTGCTGGATTGTGGCTGAAATCTTGTGCTTTTCTGCCTGATGTTTTAAGCTTCTCGCTTTGAGCATATCTCTGGTCACAGAAAATGCTTAGTCCCTTAAATTTTCCTTCCTGATTCCCATTTGCTTGTGCACAGCAGGTCCTGGTGCAGTGAGGGTTCAGTGGTTTTTGGGGGTGGGGGGTGAAACCAAACACGTGAATGGTTTGGTTGTCCCTGGGCTTTATAGAAATGGAAGGTTTACCAGGGTGCTGAGGTCCTGCACAAGAGCTGGCAGGAAGCCCCTGAAGGAGATGCTCTGTCCCAGCTGCTGGGGTAACACCAACTGCTCGTGGATGCAGAAACTTGCAGCTGCTGCCGTGCCAGGGGAGCTCCGCTGCCCTGCCGGGTGTCGGGGGGTGTGCGCTGCCCTCGCTGCCAGCCCCGCCGTCCCTCTCCCGCAGCCTGGCCTGCCCGAGCGAGGCCGGCTGATCCCACAGCGATCCCTTCCCCATGAATCAGGGACTGGGCTCGACTGCTTTCACTCCTCTGGTTGGCACATAGAAATCCTCTCAGCCGCTTGCAAAGCTCCGCGGTGCTTCCCCGGCTCGAGGAGACAGAGCTGTGGTGCGTGTGTAACTTCTCCACCTGTCGTTCTCCTTGTAGGTGCGTGGAGGGCAGCGACAGAAGAATGGGGCACGGAGGACTGGAATGAAGATGTAGGTACTCTCCAAACCCCCCTCCTCCGCGTCTGCCAGCGCGCTGCTGTCCGGTTTGTACACACAGAGCTGCAAGAGGAGTGCAAAGCACATCCTCCCCAAACTGTGAGCGTAGCCCAAGCCAGGCTCCCAGTTCCAGGAGCTTTGATGCACAAGTAGACGTCGCTGCTTCTAAAGTGCACGTGTAGTACAGCTTGTCGTAGGAGCCCAAGGCAGGAAGGGTTTCCCAGGGCATCGAGTCTGGTCGCCTCATTTCCTGCAACTGCACGACCGAATTCTTCCATAAACCGGCCTGACTCCACACCAGATTCTTTCTCTGCTCCTCCAGTGGAGTGGCAGTTTGGGAAGATTTGCCTTTGATCCTCATCACGTGCCATGGAGGAGGCAGCAGCGGTGTCACGTGCCTCTGCTGGTCCTTGTGATTTGGGTTGAACAGAAGCTCTTGGCTTTTACCTTCTGACTCGCTCTCTGACATGTCTTGCTGCTTTTTGTTCTCTCCCCTGTCTCCTTCAGGGGAGAGGGGACACTTAGCACCTGCTCTAAATGCCTCTGGATCAGTTTCTTCTGAAATGGGCTTCAGTCCCTCTCTGAACCAAGGGAGAACTTGTGTTCTTGCAGATGGTACCAGGGTTGGGCTTTTTTAGTAGTGGTATTATTAGTTTTGCATACTCGTTTTTGCTAAACGTACAGAATGAGCATGAAGGAAAAGCTTTTGCTTTCCAGGCACCACCTGAAGGAAGTGCTCCTGCTGTGTTTGGAGACACAAGCAGCTTCTCTGTCTCTGCTTGAAGAGAGCCTTTGATAGCCCTTGTGGCCCTCAGCATGCGTGATATGCTCCCAGGGGTTCCTGATTTTGTTTTTAAACTCTTGGCAGCTCCTTGGTCTGGAATAAAAGCTGTTCGTGTTCAGATGTGTTCCAGGCTAAACCACAGGTGGTCATTAAACCTCCCCTTGATTCCTTTTCCCTTCCATAGCTGAAGTACATCTGTTGGTCTCTGGTCTGATCACTGAGGTGAGGCCAGGATCAGTGGAAGCTTAACGATGGGTGTGAAGCTTTTTTCTTTTATTTCTCTAGCAATACTTGCGCTCACCTGTGCAGTGGGTTTTGCAGATCAGTGCCGTCAATTCAGGGCACCTGTCCAAGACCCCGGCAACCTTAGTGGATTTGTGGACTATGGGAAATTTGTAGAAGGGTTTGGTGTTTTTTTTTCCACTGGCAAATGATTTGTGCACTTGCCTGAGAAGAAACAAATGAAATGAAACTGCTTCTGATGGGAGCCAAATGTTAGAGAAGTCTAAACCCTTGAGTTTCTCCAATCTTTGTGTCGTTGTTTGTCTCAAACGTTTGTGTGCTTTACTTAAGAGTCCCAAGACACTGTTCTCACTTTTGGTTTCTTTTTCCCTTTTTTATCTTTCAGCTGTCTGAGACTAAGATCTTCACCGCCTCCAATGTGTCTTCAGTGCCTCTGCCTGCTGAGAATGTGACAATCACAGCTGGACAGAGGTGATAGCCCGTGGCAATGCTGTTTACAGGGGAAAAGTGGCACACGAGTCCCAGAGCAATTTGCCATCTCAGACTAAACCTTGCCAGCTAGCTAAAATGCAGCAGCTCTGAATGAAATCAAATGGATTTGAATTGAAAAGTTTAACTCTAATCCTGGATTAGAGTTGTCCTAGGCTCTGCTGCTGGTTCTTCAGATTTGGGGGCATTTTGCTGTGTTAAATTAGTGGAAAACATGCTTTAAAATAGAAGGCCATGCAGGATCTTTCTTGATCTCTCTCCTTTTGGAGTTGCTGCTGGAAGTTGTGAGTTGATGTTCTGCAGATTCATTCAGTTTGTAAAGTAAAAACTATAAATTGTGAGGCTGGAGGTAGAAGACTGCTGTGATGGAAGTGAGGGGTGTGACAGACCTCGTCTTAACCTCAGTGGGTTGTCTCCTTTTTTTTTTCACCCAGAATCGATCTTGCAGTCCTCCTAGGAAAGACACCCTCTTCTATGGAGAATGAGTCAACAAACCTGGAGTCATCCCAGGCTCCTTCCCTGGCCCAGCCACTGGTGTTCAGCAATTCCAAGCAGAGTGCTATATCCCAGCCTGCCTCTGGTAACTCCTTCTCTCACCACAACATGGTAAGGAAACCCAGCGTGCGGGTTGGGGCAGGTGTTGGTTTCCTTGATGTTCTCTGTCTGCATTTGGGCACTATGGGAGATGCAGTTCTGGCACCTCCTCACTTCTTGTGGGTTGCAGAGTCCTCTTCATGGATGATTTGCCAGTCTGCTCTAAATACAGAGGCATGAAGTCCATTGCTTGATTAGAAATAATCGGGACGATTCCTCCCCTGTTGCCCTTGTCAGACTTGTAACACATGCTTCTTTCCTGCTCAGAGGAAAGGCAAAGCTCTTGCAGTCCAGGGCTTGCAAATTCAACAGTTGGAGAAGTGGAACTGGTCGGGAGTTCGGTGTGGGATGAAAGGCAGGCTTGTACTAACAGGCGAAGAAAGGAGGCGTTGAATCCGAATCGGGGATGTGCACAGACCTGGGCAGGTGCTGCTTTGTGTAGCTTCAGCAAAAGAAATAAAAATTGTGCACCTAATGGTGAGCTGGTTCAGGAAGGATTTTCCAAAGCACCTTAATTGCAGAGCCAAGTTCTGCTGGTGATTATCTTTTTTCGTGCAAGCAAATGCACGTGAATAATTTAGTGTACCTGCACTCACGTGTGATAAGGGCTGTGAGAGAAGTCTGAGCTCTCCTTGCCAGCAGGGTCTGCGTGCGCCTTGGAGCTCGAGAGCATTAAGCTGAGGCACCCAGGGAGAAGCAGCAGGGTACAGTGTGCTCAGGCTTACGTTAAGATGTGTCTCCTCTGAGGCAGGTTCCAAGCCAAGGTGGGTGTTGACTTTGTTCTTTCCTTGTTGGAATCGCAGGTGAGCATGCTGGGGAAAGGATTTGGAGACGTTGGGGAGGCCAAAGGCAGCAGCACCACAGGCTCTCAGTTCCTGGAGCAGTTCAAGACGGCCCAGGCTCTGGCTCAGCTGGCTGCTCAGCACACCCAGCCTGGTGGGAGCAGCACCACTTCGTCCTGGGACATGGGATCCGCTACGCAGACCTCGTCTCTCGTGCAGTATGGTAAGGAGAAGCAGCGTTGCTCCCCAGAGGGGAGCCTGCTCTCCCAGAACTGCAGAAACGCTCCGCGAGCAGCAGTGTGAGGGATTCAGCAGAGGGCTGGATCACAAATTCCAAACCAAGCCAGATGTGCTGGAGGAGTTAAAAGAACTGTGGGTGCAAGTTCGTGAGAGTGAAATGTAATAAACAGTGCACGAGTCCTACTTAGAGCAGTTGAATCCGTCTGCCTCTTGGTCATTCCAGCCTGCTCCAGGGCCAGGGATCTGGCGTTCCTGAGACCCTCACACTGTGCAGAGCTACTTGCTGGTGTAAAGCTGTGTGGCAGAGCAGGGGTCTGAAAGTGGGCACCTCTGGAGAACGGTTCCCAAGTACCAAAACTTGTCAGTCGTACCTCGCTGCTGCCCTGATGTTATCTTTTAAAGTAATTCGACTCTGGTAGCTCTTAAATGCCAAGAAGTAACTACCTCTGGGCTGGCATGAGGGAATAAAGAGTGATGAAGAGGCTTCTGCTGTTCAGATGAGATGCCAAGCCCTGCTGTGGCTGAGTACTAGTGCCACTTCTTTCAGCTTCTGCATTTTATTTTTTGCTATAGGGAAATGGCTCGGGTTCAAATCTAAGCTGAAGGAAAATCGAGTCCTGTCCTGGTAACAGTCAGTGTTGGCAGCTCCTGATCTTTTCAGACAAGGAGCCACAGAGGAGAGGCAGAGAGAATAGGAGTTGCTTTTTAATAAGCTGCAGTGAGGCTTAGGCGAACGAAGAGGGTGATGGAGTCGTGCGAAGACCTGAGGGTGGGCAGCCTCGAGCAGCGGCGTTGCTTGGAGGATACCCAACGCTTGCAGGAGAAAGAGCAGGCAATGAAATGCAGAAATGTTGGCAGAGGGGGAGGAAGGAAGCAGTGTCAGGCCCATGCAGGACTCTGACATGCACTGCCTCCACACAAGGGACTCTGAAGTCCAGCTTTTCGCGGAGGATGGAAGACTTCTGCTGTGCAAGCTCACTTTGTCCCATGGAAGGTGAAGGAGCTGGGGGGAGAAGGGCTTAAGAGGCTTGGCGTTGATGGTGGTGAGAGTGCAAGGCTGGGAGTGAAGGTGCTGGGGTTCTCTGCTCTGATTTTAACAGGCCCCAGGAGGAGTCAGTGTGAAATGATTTTATTTTTCTTGATGATGACCAGAACTTGATTTAGTTTAAGGAAACAAATCCTGCTAACTCAGCTCTGTCTCCCTTGGTAGATCTCAAGAACCCTACAGACTCTTCTGTGCATAGCCCCTTCACCAAGCGTCAGGCCTTCACTTCGACTTCAACCATGATAGAAGTGTTCATGCAGGAGAAGCAGCCTGTGGTGACTGCCTCCACAACCGTGCCGGCACCCTCCTCTTCACCGCTGCCCAGCAAAACCAATCCTGTTCCCCAGATGTCCCCAGGGTCCTCCGACAACCAGTCCTCCAGTCCCCAGCCAGCACAGCAGAAGCTGAAGCAGCAAAAGAAAAAAGCGTCGTTAACATCAAAGGTGAGGAGGGATGGTCGTATTGTGTTAGAGCTGCAGAAAAATCTGTTTGGGCTGGTGAGGGAAGGGCTGGGCTTGGCCCTCCTGCTGTCAGCATTGGGTGTTGGTGGGGGTGACAGAGAACAGCTTCCCTGCCCGGGCTGAACGGTGTAATTCCAGCCTGTAAGTACCATCGTGTGCTGGGAAACGCGGATACTGGAGTCGTTTTTGCTGCTCCCAGGGAGCGGTTGACCCTTCCTGCCGTTCCTCCCTTGCAGATCCCTGCGCTCGCGGTGGAAATGCCTGGCTCAGCAGATATCTCAGGGCTAAACCTGCAGTTCGGAGCGTTACAGTTTGGTTCGGAGCCCGTTCTGGTGGAGTATGAATCGACGCCTACAACAAGCGCCGCCGTTAGCCAGTCCCAAGGCAGCCTGTACACCAGCACGGCCAGGTGAGAGCCGGGAAGGGAGCGGGTAGCTTTGGAGGGTGGCTCCTCCCGTGGAATTCAGCCATGCTGCATACCAGTAGACCCTTTCTGACTGTGCCGTGGTCACAAAGGGGGGACAAGGTATGCGACAGCAAAGCGTAAGGGGCCAGCAGGCTCGTTCAGGCAGCTCTGTGGCTGATGGGCCTGTGGCACTTACACAGACAGCAGACATTCCGCTGCTGTTAGGCTGTGGTGCTGGGAACAAGAGAGGGGAATCCCCAGCACAACTGCTCCTCATCCCTGGTGAACATTGTGTGCTTTGTCCTGCTTTTTGCCCGGCAAACTGGGGCACAGCGGAGTAGGTGTATCCACAACGATAATGCCTTGCCGGAGCAAAGTGTTTCTGTTGGGCTGACCCTCAGCATCTGGCCAGTCCCTGAAGTGCTGGGACCTGAGCGGTGGCAGCTCATGAAGTGCCACCTAGGGCACAGCGGTGCGTGAGGCAAGGCTGCAGCTAGGTGCCAGCATCCTCCTGTGCTGGGGCCAGCCCTTGACTGGGCGTGTTTCTCTGCTGGGTTTGCTTGGCTGCTTTGTGTGATGCCCTTACGCTGGTGCTCGGGGCTCTTTGCTTTGAAGATTTGAAAGGAGGAGCCTGCAGGCTGGGTCAGCAGCTTACAGCAGGGCTGTTTTGGCAGAAAGTGTAATCTCCGTGTCTTTTTCCCCCCTTGATAGTGAATCTTCATCCACAATCTCGTCCAATCAAAGCCAGGAGTCTGGTTACCAGAGCGGCACGATACAGACAGCAACGTTTACCTCCCAGAACAGCGCTCAGGGACCACTGTACGAACAGAGATCCACCCAGACGAGGCGATACCCAAACTCAATCTCCTCCTCGCCCCAGAAAGATCTGACCCAGCCCAAGGTAGGAAAACAGCTTTACCCACCCTTTGTCCTGAGTAAGCACAGGGTGTGAAGCACTGTCTCCGGAGAGCTGAGTGGTTTATCAGGTGTTCCTGTGACCCTCCAGCCTCACCGTGTGGCTTTTGGGGAACCGTGTGGCTTGTGGACTCTCGTGAGAGCTTTCTTCTGGCTGCTCTCAGGGCCCTTAGTTATGTCACCTGCCTGGGACTGGGCCAGTGGGGTTAACAGCGGTTAAATCTTGCAGGCCACGTGCGGTGTCATGCATCATTACCCGCTGCAGAGTGGCACTCAGGCTAAGGATTGGGTTTCTCTTAAGGACTCGATTCTTGCGTGCTGCACACGAGTTCAGTAACATCACTTTTGGCTGACAAACTTGGGTTGAGGATGTTGAGCCAGTCTGACTACCAGCAGCAGAGAAACTTCTTGCACTGCTTTCTCAAATATGTGCTTGGGGTTCATGCTGGCACTGGGTGGTTGAGCTTGGCACCGACCCCAGCACAGTCTGGCTACGTGTTGGTAGCACACCTTTGTCACAAGTGGGGAGGGCATGTGGGAGGGGGCTGACACTGGATCTTCCTCTGGAAACAAGCGGCTGCAATGCTCAGTACTCTTTTCTCTTCTTCCTCAGAATGGTTTCAGTTCTGTACAACCCACGCCATTACAAACCGCACAGGCTGTTGAAGGTAAGAGTTTGTCAGCACAGTGGGTGTCCTGAGTCTCTTGCACTGCTCGTGTTCTCTGCTTTGGATGAAAAGCTTTATCGGTGCTAACAGCAAGTCCTTTCCCTGCTCGACTAATTGCTGCCACTTGTCTTATTTGCTTGCCTTGAAGCATTCAGCTTTCTGCTGATGGGTCCATGAGATCCTTGATGAATCGCTCCCCGATGACAATAATTTACTCGGATTTGTTTGCGAAAGGCTTTTGTGGGTCTTGAGGCTCTTTGCAGAGCTGATGGCGGTGTTGGGGTGAAGTGAGATGTAGAACACAATCACGCTGTCACAAGTGTGTAACTGGTTGGCAGCAGTGAGGGAAGCCGCAGATCTCCCTGCTCCTCTAGCTGAGCCTTTGCTGATCCTCACCACTAAATTGCCCCCCAGGAGCTGCTGGTTCTGCCCTTAACCCAGAGCTTTTGTTCGCAGGTGCTACAGGCCCCGCAGTGAAATCCGATTCTCCCTCTGCTCCCAGTATCACGCCTCTCAACGATGGGGTGTCTGCATCGTCCTTGCTGACAACAGCCAGCCAACACTCGACAGCTCTGAGCAGCCTGAGCCACAGTGAGGAACTCCCCAGTACGACCACCACCCAACTCAGCAGGTGAGCTAGTGTGGTGGATGGACTTCCAGAGAAGCAGAACTAGAAGCAGAGATCTCTAGTAGACACTAAAGTCTGTCTCATACTGTGGGGAAGACTGAGATAACTCATCCCATCCAAGCAGATAGAGATTGAGATCTGGCCTGGTACTCCCAGTGGTGACTCTCGCACCTTGGCTTGACAACCTTTTATTCCTCCTTCCACAGTACGTTACCCACCCAGCAGAACAGTCTGTCCTCATCCACATCCTCTGGGCGAACGTCGACTTCAACTCTCCTGGTGAGTCTGGGTGTGCCCTGGTGCTGCGTGTGCCCCTTGCTGCTCAGCTCGGAGGTTTGCTGGTGTGCCCGACCCTGGGCGCTTGGCGGGCAGGGTCTGCAGTTGTGGCAGGAGCTGCCAGTTGTCCCGCTGGAGTTTGGATGTTGTGTGGAGAGAGGGCAGAGGGTTATGCCAGAACACTGTCTGTGCACCTCTGGCTCGAGGCTTTTGACACCTTGTGTCAGACGTAGCAGCGACTTCTTCTGAGCCTGTAGCAGCTCTTGAAAGTGCTGCCGAGTTGCAACTGGAGCAAACTGGGAGCTGATGGATTGTCACTGTTGAAATGTGTATGCTGCTGGAGCTCCTGCAGTAGAGTCCCTGAGTGTTGGCTTCTGCAGCAGAATAAATCTCCCTGCTGCAAGCACCGTGTCCAGCCCTGCTTCCCCCAGCAGACAGATGTGTTGGGACACAGCCACAGGAGAGGCTTGGAAGCGTTAGGGGTTGGCTACTGTCAGAACTTTGGCCTTAAGCGAGATGCAGAGCAGGTTTCTTTGTACCCTGCAGCAGCTGAGTTCACTGCAGGCTCTCAAACATCTGGGTGCAGACAGTGCCCCGCGATACTTCTGTGCTCCGTTGCATCCGCCGAGTCCCCTAACTCTCTTCCTTTCCTTCCCTAGCACACGAGTGTGGAGAGCGAAGCAAGCCTCCATTCTTCTGCTAGCACTTTCTCCACCTCCTCCAACACAGTGTCAGCCACCCCGCCCGTCGTCAGCGTTTCATCCAGCCTCAGCAGTGTCAGCAGCCTGGGCCTCAGCCTCAGCAGCAACTCCACTGTGACGGCCTCGACCCGCAGCTCCGTCGCAACAACATCAGGTACTGCTGAACAGGAGGAGGGCACGGGGGCTAAAAGAGACAGCTTCTGCTGTTTGCTTCACTGTGGAACTTTTCCTTTCTCTTTCAGGAAAAGCTCCTCCTAATCTCCCTCCTGGAGTCCCACCGTTGTTGCCTAATCCATACATCATGGCTCCAGGGTTGCTACATGCCTATCCGGTGAGTGGGACGACCGGCTCATGTCATGCCGCTAGATCCCTCCTAGCTCTGTCTCCAGCAGGCAGGGGTGTAGTATAGTAGAGAAACCAGAAACTGGAGCATCAGCCCAGCAGGACTGCCTTGGATGGGAAGAGTTTGGACCTGCTGTTTTCCATAAAACAGTAGCAGAGGAAATCCATGTGCCCGTGGGGGTAAATGTCTGTAGTTCTGGTCACCCCAGAGCAGACTCTGCCTGTTCTCTACAGCCTCCCCAACCTCTGGGGAGCAGCAGCTCTTGGTCAGAGTGCAGCTCGTGAAAGTGTGGAGCTGCTTTAGTAACACGGTGTGACAAAGGCCAAACAGTCAGAGCAAAGGTGACAACTGTTACAAGGTCTAGGGCTGTGTCATTGCCTTCTTCCGAACGTGAGGACAGATTCCAGCGTTGGAATAATTTCTAGAGGAAAATTGAGGGCGTTTGATGTGGAGCAGTGGTGCTAGGCGTTGGCTCTCACTCTTCATTCGAGCAGCTCGTAAAAACACTCTCGGCAGTGTCGGTCTTGCGGTGGTGAACGCTGACTGCCTGCACGTAGGTGATTGTGTAGCCTCTGATTGTCTGCTCCTGGCTTTGCCTAATGTTTATCTAAACATTTCATCTAAAATTAGATGTGTCTTTATCTAGTTTATGTCCCTAACTTCATCTCCTGCTCTTTTTCTAGCCACAGGTGTATGGATATGATGACTTGCAAATGCTCCAGACGAGATTTCCATTGGTGAGTTCCAAAGACTGACATGGACCACAGCACTTCCACTGGTCCAACAGCTCACCAGTGCTGCGTGCTTTGGGTGTACAGGGTCAGGCTTTGAGGTCGTCCTGAAGAGGTGGCAGAACGGGGTGCTAAACAGACGCACCTCTCCGTGACAGTAGTGAGGAGTTCAATCAGTTTGCAACTCCTTTGCACTTTTGGGAGCACTGGTTATTGAGATGGTGGGGCTGGGGCGTGAGAAAGCTGCCTTGTTTGGCCCGACAGGGATGTAAGGAGCTGTTGTAGATACTCAGTGCTCAGCCTTGAAAGAGGCAGTGACTAAATACTTTTATGAGAACGGGTTTTATTTAGCAATACAGGTTTTATTTAGCAATACAGGTTTTATTTAGCAATACAGGTTTTATTTAGCAATACAGGTTTTATTTAGCAGTATGGGTTTTATTTAGTAATAGGACATGTTTCCCTTGTGTTGTGGAGGGGAAAGTCCAGGCAGCTAAGGACTGCATGCCAGTAGACCTTATCTGGCTCTTCTAATAGCCAGACGAGGGGGATGGTGTATGCTACAAAAACCTGGAGTTGCTGTAGGCTGTTTTCAGCTGTGATGTGGCTGGTAGAACTGCAATACTCCAACAAATCTAGCAGCTGCAATCCAGAAATCCCTCTTTTCCAAAAGATGCTGCTTTTCGTCTTTGGACAGAGCTCATCAAACTTCTCCTTTTGTTATTATTCTTCAGGATTACTACAGCATCCCATTCCCTACGCCCACCACCCCGCTGACTGGAAGAGATGGCAGCCTGAGCAGCAATCCATACTCTGGTAGGGAAAAAAGACCACTCTGATCCCGTATTCCATCAGGTGTCCGTGCTGCTGCTTGCTGCCTTCCTGTGCCGTTGCCCGCTGGAGCTACGTCTGCACCGGTCTCCTCCAGTGCCTTTGGTCTGGAGCATGTTTCTCAGCAGCTAAATTCTTGACTTCCCTTTGATCATCTGGTGGTGTCGAGGCATGTTACCAGGCAGATGTGGGCAAGTGGGACTCGGTGTGGCACTTGGAAAGGGAGCGAGGAGGGGCTGAAGGAATCCGTGAGGCGTAAAACTGGGGAACTGCTTTTCAGGTCGTGGTGAGGCAGGGGTTAAGCAGTGCTTCTCAAAGAAACCCAAAATCTGGAGAAATGTAAGTGGTTTTTGTTTAGGTGACAGACTTCTGGAGAAAGAAAACAGGGCATTTAGGAGCTGCGAAGTGCAAACCAAGTGCTCAGTGGGTGGCTTATCTCTGGCTGACCTTGATAGGTGCGTTTGTGTTTATTCACCGGGCTGGTTCACAGTGGGGCACCTTTCACGTGCTGCAGGAATTGGTGCACTTTGTGGATCTGTTTTTTTCCAGAAATCCCCTGCTTCAGCAGGAGCTTGTTTGTGCGGAAGTGCTTTTGCCTGGCACTGCTGAGGCTGAAATGCCTGGCTCAGAGCATGGCACTGTTGTGTGCCAAGTTAGCATCGGTGATAATTGATGTTTGTGGCTGTCCCGGGCTTGCTCGGGAGCTGGGGCAGCACTGAGAAATTCCCTGGCTCACTGTGTGAGCTCTGAATGGGGAGAGTGTTTGCAGGGAAGAGCCAAGCAGGTGCTCCTGAAGAGCAGCAAAGAGAGCTCCCCCGAGCCCTCGCACAGTGCCCAGACTGGGAGGGAGGAAGGGATATTTCCCAGTACTCTGTGGGTTGCTGGGCCTCTGCAGCAGCGTTTGGTTCGGTGCCACCGGCGAGAGGGAGGGAGGTGTGAGCCCTGCTGTGAAAAGGGACCATTCACACATCCTCAACTGGAAGATACTTGACTCTCCTCTTCAATGAGGAAGGTTTCCCAGTAGGACTGGGCCCCCAGGCTGCTGCCCTGCCCTCAGGACTGGCTCTGGAGGGAGCTGAGTTGTGTTGGGGCTGCTGCTAGTGCACGGAGAGGGCGTAGGGAGAGCTCTGGCATCTGGGGTCTGGTGCTGCGCGGGCAGCCGGTGACAGGTTTACCCAGTGCTGGATCGGATTGTCCACCGTAGCTTAGCTGCTGTGTGCTTCCCTTTCCCTCTGAAATCCTCCCAGGAATGCGGAGAGCAATTAACAGCTCAGCCTTATCGCCATGCAAAGGTCTGAGGGCCACAGTCCTTAGCAGCTCCAGGAGGGAGGGGGGTTGGTTCAAGTCACCGTTGATCAAAAGGCCGAGCTGGAATGGGCTGGGATTTGGCACAGCTGTTCCTCATTCCCTTTTTATCTCCTGTGTTCCAGGTGACTTAACAAAATTCGGCCGAGGTGATGCCTCTTCCCCCGCTCCTGCAACAACTTTGGCCCAGCCTCAGCAGAGCCAGACCCAGACTCACCACACCACGCAGCAGACGTTCCTGAACCCAGCACTGCCTCCAGGCTACAGTTACACCAGTCTGCCGTACTACACAGGGGTACCAGGGCTCCCCAGCACCTTCCAGTACGGGCCCGCCGTGTTCCCTGTGAGTTTCCCCAGAGGCAGAGCATGGAATTCGGGCAGGAGTGCGACGCAGCAAAGCCTCTCCTCACTCTGCTTCTCTCATTTCTGAAGGTTGCTCCTACCTCTTCCAAGCAGCATGGTGTGAATGTCAGTGTCAACGCATCAGCAACCCCTTTCCAGCAGCCCAGTGGCTATGGCTCTCATGGATACAGCACTGGTAAGAGACCTGACAGCAGCTGCTGGGGCAGCTCGCTGTCTCACTGGCCCAGTAAGGGGACTGCTGCCTTACTGCCTCAAGCACTAAGGGAGGAAAAAGACTGTGGTGCATCTCGCAGGTCGTTTGATTCTCCTTGGAAAGGTTCTGCATCCAGGTCTGGAGTAGGTTTGACGAGTACAGAGCGCTTCATGCCCACCTCTGTGCCCAGCACTTGGTTGGCTGGGGCCTTGGGCTCATGTCAGAGAGCTTGAGCTGCTGAATTGTGGAGGTTTGGGGGTTTTATGGTGTTTTTTTTTTTCACTGCCTGGGTGTGATCCATAGAACAATAGTTATTCCCGATTCGAGCCTGGGAACGTGTTTGATTGCTGTGTCGGAGATGCATGCTTTCTAGAGAAGTGTCCTCGAGTCAGAGATGCAAGAACGTTTTCAACCTGCCCCTTGTCTCGGAACTGGGTTTCACTGGTTAATGTCTGGCTGACTCTAGAGGATCTTCATTCGGGTCCCTGTTCCAGCCTGTAAATTCCTGTTGTGCCTTTTTTCC